AGCGCTCTAACCACTGCGCCGCGGCCGCAGAGTTTTGAAGAAACAAAATCTTTCATATAATAAAAAGAAAAAGAAAATTGTGGTATATTTCAAAATATAGGTACTAGTAAAATGCAAACTGTGAGCCGCAAACGGCGAACTGGTAAAATGCGAACTTTTTTGCGAACCATTGTCCTATTAGTTTTTAATGATGTAATGTTTTATTTCCGTTAAATAGTTCATTTAGCGGTATATTTTAAGAACTTTTAGGCGAAAAAATTAATTAAAAAGATAAATTAAAGGAAATTAAGTGAAACTAGACAAATACAGTATAATTTTTTTTTAAATTATTTGATAGACTGCCTGCCCAAACCAAATCCTCAGTCGATTTACCAGCACTCCGTTGCAAGTCAGTCTATAAGATAGTCGATGTAGCAGCACGTCAATGTCGTCATTGCAGTCGGCAAATTTTCAAATACGAGGATTTTTTTTGTTGTTGTTGTTGTTGGCAAAAGTTGTAATGGCACCCCACAACACACACACGTGACACCTACTCGCGCCAGCCCTGTCCGTAGCGAGTCAGGCTATGAAACAGTCGATGTAGTAACACTCCGAGCATGTTTTACAGTTAAAAAATAAAAAATTTATTATTAAATAAAGCTTTAAAATAAATATTTAAGAATTGGAGAGTTTTTTTTATAATTACTTTTATCATAACAATAATGGTCTTTAAAATATAATGTTTTGGTTCGCAAAAAAGTTCGTATTTTACCGGTTCTCAGTTCGCGGTTCGCAGTAAATAGTTTGGAAAGAACTCTAGCATTAATTCACATAAATAAGATTACTTTAATATATATTTCTTAAAGATACGTCTCGTTACTTACAATTACAAACTTGAATCACGCCAAGTGTTCAGCTCGTGGTGAAGGAAGCGTAAGAGAGCGAGACTTGCTACGCGTTCAGTTAAACATACAAAGTAAAGAAGCATACTGACTGCTGCGTTAGCGAACTAACACAACACTGCGGCCGGCACTAATAAATTATTGTTAAAATGTTTAATGTTTCTCTCGTTAATAAATGTCACTTGAATTAACTGTTCTTTAATCAAGTCATGCCTTTCTAGGAGGTAAAGTTTATTTGAAGTTTTTCTAAGAATAACTAGTTTGTCGCCAGAGATCACGCGTACTTCAGCAGAACGTACTTGACTATCACTTGAATTAAGTATATTTTGGATAACGTATATTTTAAATTTCACTTGAATTAAGTATATTTGAATTAAGTATATTTTGAATTAAGTATATTTTGGATAACAACATCTCCAATTTTCATATTAAACCCCCAACTTTGGTGTGTCACATTTGTGTGCATTTCTCGTAAGTTTATCAAGTATTTTCCATGTGCCAATAATGATCCAAAATCGCTTTTTGGTGTAAATACTTCTGCTTATCATCGCTTTGATCAACAGTTAAAATGTTATTAAAATTCACAGATTCTAAAGGTAATTTTCGTCCAAACACGAGATGATTTAGTGTTAGAGGCTCGTCGCCGGGTACTTCGTACAGAAACGTAATCCACCGGTTGTTTACAACAACTTCAATTTCAGCCAAAATCGTTAGCATTTCTTCATAATTAACTCTTGATGTTTTTAGAACCTTTTTAAGTACTCTCTTAGTAGTTCGTATCATCCTTTCGAATATCCTTCCCACCAAGGAGCAGCAGGAACGTTAAAACACCATCGTATACGTTTGAACTTGAGAAGATTTGAGTTTCTTCAGCAGAAAAATTTGAACCATTATCGCTGATAAATTGAAAGGGTGCGCCAAAGCGGTATATAAAACGACAAAGACCACGAATGCAAGCTTCCGCTGTGCAATCGGGAACCAAATCTAAATAGAGAAAACGTATACGACAACATGTAGCAACAAATATCCACGCTTTATACATCACATTAGTTTCATAAATATTCTTAAGCATGATTGGTCCGCAAAGATCTACTCCCACATATTTAAATGCATATTCATCACAAACTCTAGATAGGGGTAGAGGAGGAGAATTAGGATACTTAAAAGGTTTACTGTCAAATCTTCTACAAGTGTAACAATTTCTAACAATATTTTTAATTAAATTGCGAGCTTTTGTTAACCAAAACTTAGTTCTTAATTCATTAAGTGTTTCTTTAACACCACTATGTTTAGTAAGACAATGATAATGTAAAATAATTAAATTGGTTAAGTAAGTTTTATTTGGTAAATATATAGTAAATTTTGAATTAAATGGAATTGGTGCGTTAATAAGACGACCTTGACAACGAATTATTTCATCGGCTTTAAAAAAACCTAAATCTCGTTTTAATTGATTATAAGACTCACTATTATATATATATCTTTTTGAATGAACTTAATCCACAATATTTCTGCATTATTTAATTCAAAAGTAGTTAGTGTAGATAAATCATTATTAAATTTTTTTTTAATTATACTAATAAAACGCAAAACTAAAGCTGTAACCTTAAGAAGACGATCATATGTTTTAAAATTGTTAATGTTCATAAAATCTAAATTTACTAAAGAATGTTCAGAGGTAATTAAAGTTATAACTTCAGACTGAGAATCTCCTTGTTTGCTTAAATCAAATGAAGGCCAGGAAATTAAACTATTGAATAAAAAACTACGACCTTTAAACCAAAGGTCATTATTTTGAAAGGTACTAAATTTACAACCACGAGATATAAAATCCGCGGGATTTCTTTCACTTTCAACATAATCCCAAAACTTAATATCATACAATAAACAAAATTTTTCAAGGCGCTTCTGAAGAAAGGCTTCATATTTTTTATTTACTTTGTTTACCCAATTAAGACAAATATTGGAATCAGAAAATAAGTTAATAAAAAAAATATTTAAAACACACGATAACTCTTTATATACAACTGAAAACAAATTAGCTTATAATAACATTGCCCTTAATTCTAATTTAGAACAGTATTCTTAAGTAAAGGAGAAACTCTTGATTTAGAAGTAACTAGACAAGAATTCGCAACTCCTTCAGCGCTACCTCTTAAGTAAATGCAACACCCGTACGCTTTTAGACTCGCATCGCAAAAGCCGTATAACTCAAATTTATTATGTTGGATGTTATTAACACACTTATTATACCATCTTGGAATATAAATAAAAGGTACAGAACTCAAATTATAATTAATATCGTTCCATTCAATCAAGGTCTCTTCCTCTATAAGTGAATTCCACCCTAACTTTAACTTACAAATCGATTGAAATAATATTTTACATCTTACTTTAGGATTCACTAATCCTAAAGGATCATAAAAACTTACAATGAATTTAAGAATACTTCTTTTAGTAGGTTTATTGTTCACTAAATATAATCAATCCTGAAAGGTAAAAATTAAATCATCTTCAGTTTTATACCACTTTAAACCAAGAACTTTAGCAATATTACTTGGGTTTGAATTGTCCTCTTTAATTAAACTGCATAGTTCCTTTGAGTTTGACTCGAATTTTCTAAGACAAAAATTTCCTTCTTTTAAACATGATTTAGCTTTATTATAAAACATAAGTCCTTTGGATACAGAATCGAAACTCGCATTTAAATTATCCACATGTAATGATTGAATTAATTTCTTGCTAAAATCAAAATTGTTCACAGCTTAACGTTCAGCGTGATTAATTAAAGTCGCAGATAATAAGAAAGGAGAAGAAGTTACGCCAAACAAAACTCGAAACAATCGATAAACACTTAATTCACTATTTTTTAAATTATTGTCTAAATCAAAAAAGTCTTTATACCATATAAATCTTACAAAGTCTCGATGCTTTTCAGCTAATGTAATGTTTAAAAATGCTTTCTCAATGTCAGCAATTAAAGCGATTCGCTTCGCACGAAAACGTAAAAGTATACTATACAATGAAGTTGTTAGAGATGGTCCTGAAAATAAGCACTCATTTAACGAAGTACCGGATGTGCGAGCATTTGCATCAAAAACTATACGTACTCTTGAAGTAAGCTTATCTTTGCGTATTACTGGACGGTGAGGTAAATATTGAACGTCACCAATATTACTTTTAAAATTAGAGACTTTTTCAATAATGCCTTTAGATAATTGATCCTTAATAATACTATTGTAAATCTCTATCGCTTGCAAATTTTTTTCTCTAATGCTAAAAATCTCGACTTACATAAATTATAATTGTCACCTATCACCGGATGATCTACTTTAAATGGCAATTCGACCTCATTCTTAAAATCTACTATTAAATTTAATATTTTTCTGAAATTTTGCATAAACAGTCTTATGACACTCGCTAATTTTGGAATCATCCCATAATAAATTTAAATCATTCCTTATTAAAATTTGCTCACTATTAAAATTTGACGCGACCTTCAAAACATGAGAGGACAAAACAGTCGAATTATCAATTTGATCTCTATTAACTATCATGGGACCGCCTATTAAATATCCGAACTTAGATTTAATCGCTACGGGATCGTTAACCTATTAAGATATCAACAGATAAATTTTCTTTAGAATTATTATAATCGGCTAATCTAAGACCCTTAAGATGTTTATAACTATTACACACACTAAGAAAAAAAAGTAGATTTTTTTACCCGTAAAGGTACTTCGTATATCCGACCCTATGGGTAGAAAAATATACCATTATTTTTCGGGTATTAAAATATACCCTTAACAAGGGTGTAATAATCCACCCAAGACTTAAAATCTACCCTTGATTTAGGGTACAATTGTCAACCTTCACGGGTACTTCGTATATCCAACCCTATGGGTAGAAAATATACCCTAACTTTTCGGGTTGTAAAAGATACCCTTAACAAGGGTATAAAAATCCACCCAAGATTTTAAATCTACCCTAGATTTAAGGTAGAATTATACGTACTTATCATGTCAAATTATATTGCCGCTTTAATTTAATTGCGCAACGGGTCAAAATATGTTCGATTAAAAGTATTAATAGCTCAAACTATATTTCTTGAAAGTTTAATTAATTCAATCGTGTTTATTGAGGTACAAATTTAATTTTTTTAAATTATATTTTTATACAAATTGTTTATTACTACAAAAGTTTGTTCAAAATTCTTTGACTAAATGGTGCTGTAATGTAACTAGTAACGCCACAAACATGGTTTGCTGCAAAATCTAATGTTTTTTTAAGTTTTGTGTCAAATACAATTTCGTAGACCAAGTAGGCTGCAACCAAACTTGTAACCGCATTTGATACCGTCTTGGATTTTGCGATTACTATGCCGTCGAGCATTACGCTTATTTCAGCATCATCAACGTTAAAAACATTTGTTTCGCCTGCACATCTGATGGTTATTGATGGAGTGGAAACTTGTGGATTCTGTAATTTCAAAAATGTATAACAAAAGTACTAGCATAATTAATAATTGTTAATAATAAAATCGTTAGTAATAATAAAGACTACAAACTTGATATACAACCTTATTTAAAGAAATGAAGCGATCAATGTCTTCACCAAATACAACTGGTAAAAGAAGCAATGCAGTCGATATTCTCTGACCTGATATATATATGTATACAATAATTGGTGCAAAAACTATGAAAAATAATCTATACTTTGAAAATTATATTATATATTAATTATATACCTTCAATATCAACATTTGATGGTGCGCCAATACCATTTAATAAAACATTGACGGTTTCCAAAAGTGATGCTTTTTTATTGAAGGCAACTTTGATTTGCAAATTTCCAGAATTTTGTCTGAACGATTTTGAAAAAGCTTTATTATCTTAATGATACTATATTAATTGCAAAAATTATAATAGTAATTAGGAATTATGCAAAAGTAATGCGAAAAATGAAAAAGTAGTTAATAAACAAACAAATAGCAAATGTTTATAATTTTTTTTATTGAAAAACACAAAAACAACCTCATTTTCCATTGCTAAACAAGGAAACCTTTGCAATATGACTTGTGTAGGGTTGGTTTTGATAAAAGGTCTTCTTGATACATAGGTCCGGCTCATTCTATCAGATATAATTATCGTGTCAGGATAATGTTTACTGAACTCCTTTAACATTAATGTTACATGTTGCTCCACACTTGAAGGATCTTCTAAACAGTCATTTGCAACCTGCAACTTTATAAATCAGATTATGAAAAATTAAAATATTTTGTAAAGAAAATACTTAGATATTACCTTTCATTAAATACTACCTTAAAAGTAAATAGCTATTAAATTTATTTATTGCAATAAAGAGCCATTCAAACGGTAAAAGGTTCATCTGCACACTTTTGTCCAAGATCATCTGTATTTTTTTTTTTACTCTAATAACATCTGTCCCATATCATCTGAAAATTTAACGACCCCTAAAATATCTTTAGAAAGACGTAACTACCTCTGGTAATTTTTCTCCAAGTCAAATAACATCTGGAAGAATTTTTTCCAGATGTAGTTACATCTGATTTAATTCCTATTTGTAACTACATCTGGTTAAAATAATTCATTATTAGTTAATTTATTTTCCAGATGTACTTACATCTGAAAAAATTTCTATATGTAATAAGATCTGGTTAAAATAATGCCTATTTAGTTAATATTTTATTCCAGATGTAATTAAAATGAAAAAAACCTTGTATGTAACTACATCTGGTTAAAAAATGCATTATTAGTCAATTTATCTTCATCTAAAATTTTATCATTTTTAATCATTTATCTAAAATAACTTCATCTTAAAATCTACATATATGGTTGTACAGATGTTATTACACTTTAATAATTTAAAAGATGTTTTTACATCTGTAAAATCCAGAGATGTAGCTGTACAGATGTTATTACACTTTGATAATTTAACAGATGTTATTAGAAATTTAAACAGATGTTATTAGACACCAATGAAATTTCAGATGTTGTTGGACAGATGTTTAGACATCAAAAATATATAATAATAATTTAAAAATAAATAAATTACCATACCTCACATCTAGTTATCTTTACAGATTCATTAACAGACTCAGTCAGCTGACTATGTATCCTTTTGGATGCAAACTTTCTATAAGCTTTAACAGACTCATTGTTTGAATATTTCGAACGCTCTGATTTAAATTTAGTTCTTAGACTATCTGTCAATTGACAGACAGTATATTCTTTTGATTACTACTTATCTCAATTCCATACATTTGTTTGATTTTTGTGCAAAGACTGGTTGGAAAAATTGAATAAGGCAGAAATTGCTGTAAACCAGGAATAACCGGAAAGCTCTGAATCCATTCATTTGCTGGTGATAAAAGAACACACTTAGTCATCTGGTGTCTCTCAGCAAGAATTTATGTAATGTTTCTAAAAATTTTTACACGATGAGCAACTTGCTTAAAATATTGATGTTTTGCTTCGAATCTCAGACACCAGAGTAATCGAAGAGGACCAAATTGGGCAACCATTCGTGGATAATAAACAAGAAAATGTATCTTGGGTGTAAATGATTTTGGGTTTAATCTTGCTAATAACTCATGGTGTCTAGCAATACAATGTGTGAGTACAGAAATTCACTCTATATCAATAACTGGTGAAAGAATAATTTGGCATATTTTTCTGCATAACAAATGTAGCACCCAATATTCATTTTCATTCAGTACAACTTTTCCAATATATAATGGAAGATGATAAAACAATGAACACCTCTCCACAGCTTTTCCACTGATATAATTGTTACCGGATACTAAATTAAGTGGAACATATGAAGGCAATAGTTTATCACAGTGTTCAGTAATCCCATATTTAAAATTTTTTAGTATATTTCTGAGCTCACAGACTGTCAAAAACTTATTTTTAACAAGATTTAAAAAGGCCTTTTATAACAACGCTAAAATTAACACTTATCAGTCCTTCCAATATGTCATGTAATATGTCTTGGGGCATGGAGTCTATTGGTTTAAAAATAATTTAAGATAGAGAATTGGCATTCTTTTTCAACTCCATACACAGACATCAGAGTTGGATCAATTAACACAGAGTTAACATGATAATAATGACTGGTTTTAGTTCTCAAATTACATTGACTTTTAGTCTTAATATCTCGAATGTTAATAAGTGGTACCATGCAATTTCGACAAATACGACCAGACGAGAAACATGCAGATAACCCACCAATTGTATGGGTAGACAAATTATCACCAGATAATGTAACAATGGACCCTTTAAGGTTGTGTGTTAAACCTTCAACATAATGTCTTAAAATAATACCTTCATTTTGAAGTATCATCAAATTGTTCAACAAAGGTTGTAGAATAAGTGCGTAGCCGTGTTCTTTAACTACACTATACTTTGAAATCAATGCTAAATGAATGTGGTTCAATGATGACCAATATTTACTCTCAATATTGCCAACAATAAAGTAAAAAACACTTATTTTATGAGTCTCTTTTCTACTTCCTTGTGGGTTGCATATTTGAAGTTCATCACTATAGAAATAGAGTCTAATAAAAGAGTCACAGCAAAAATCTTTTAAACGTGACTGCCATACCAAACTGTATAAAAATCTGTATAGTCATGTAGATAATCACTAGCCTGTTTTTTATGCTGAAAACTACTCCAAACATCTTCACGTTTTAAATAATTTTTCAAAGTTGCCAATAAAGAAACATAGTGAAATTAAGCTTTATCTTGGTTTTTATTTTCTAACGTAACAATAAATCTATCATCAATTGGTGCGATATTATATTTGATTGGAGGAACATAGTCAAGGTTTAACTTCATATATGATTCCATTAGATGGTCTGTGGATATTGATTTTAAAATACGCTCGTAGAAAGAATCTTCTTCAAGAATTTGTTTATACACATAATCCAGTTTCCAATTAATACCACAATGTTTAAGTTTAGCCCGAATTATTGAAAAAATACTGTTTTGATATAAGTTAAACAATATTTGAATTTGCTCGAAAATTTGCTTTGTTACTGATTTTGGAAGTATAAATTTTTCTCTACAATAAAGTTTAGTGTGACACAATTGTATAGAGAAACATTCACTTGTATAATACAGCTAATACTTTTAAATGTGCCATTTAAAAGTATTAGCTGTATTATACAAGTACTTACATTTACTAACACCACACTCTAAATTCATGAATTTATTTTCAGAATGTTGAAAAAGCATATGATTAACTAGATCACGACAAGTGGAAAAGTGTTTCCAACAATAAATGACTTTACACATATATATAGATAGGTATGCGGAAATAGCCGTTTTACGGAATCGAATTTTGTGCTAAAATTCTGTGCCACGTTTTTTGAATTTTTTTTGAGGTAGCGTCAGACAAACGTTTTATTGTGGTGTTTCTTTTTAGAAAAGTATATCAACATAGATTATTTTTGAAAAGAAGAGACTTAGATCTATATTTTTATGAATCAATTATGTATGGATGATTTACTTTTTATTGACTTTATAGATATTGAAAATTTACTTGATGTTGTCACGTGAAATTTGTATTGATGGAATGCTGAGACATTTTGCAAAACTACTGAGACATTTTTTTACATCCTTTATTTATTCACCTGCCAAATTTCAAGAAAAAATAATATGTAGCAGGTAATTTAAAAAGTGTAGCAGTTTTGGTACCTAAATGTTGTTTTCACAAATTCGCGATGGGTGTTGTTGTGGTTGGGGGAGAAAGTCGGAATCTACATACTATGTATATAACAATAACAGTAATAATAATACTGTCATTATTATTGTTGTCGTTATTTTAATAATTTCATTGTTTTATTTTTATTATTCAATCATAATTTATGTATATAATATAAATACACTATATTATGGTTTATTCTTTAATATTCTTTAAGATAAAATAATATTTTTTTATATTCTTTTATATTCCTAATAATATTCTTTTATATTCTTAATATTCTTTTAGATAAAAAGCAGATATTTGTTTAACAATCATTGTTAATCTCATCAATCAATCTCAGATTGATTTTTGTAAACAAAAAATTCATTTTTGTAAACAAAACAATCTCAGAAAGATTTTGAAAATCTTTGGATATTACCATATCTAGTAAGGTATTTATGTCTTTAATCGTGACATTTGTATTTAAAAATTTTTGTATAATTTTTGTAGTTTTGTTTTTCTGTTTCAAGCAAGGAATTTAAAAAAAATGTCTTTATAATTCCTGTTATGTCTGAAACTGTAAAGTGTTATTCTTTAAACATTAGGATAAAAATTTTAGTATGTTGTCAAATGTGCTAACAGGTAATATTCCATTTTTGTTAGAGAAAATAACGCAGTATTTTAGTGTGGTTATTAATAACATACCCCATCACAGTACTGTTGAGCAAATGGCTCATGAATTAAGAAGTATATCAGAATTACAAGCAGCAGAATGGAGTATCAATAATTCTCAGCTTACGTAGTAAGTGAGAATTATTGATAGCCCACCTTACGTCCAAAGATAAATGCCTTTTTATTGCTCTGGATCAATGTCCGTGAGGAAAAGCTGATGATTACATTTTTGGGCATTACATTGTACTGATTACATTGTATTGATTTCATTGTAGGGCAGTAGATCATCTAGCTTTTATTTATTCGAATTTTCATTTACGTAATTATGATGAGTGTTGTTAATTGAATATTGAAAATATTTCCATCACAATATCAGACAGAGTTGCAGTTAACCATCTAACCATAAGCAAAGTTAGTGCAACTTGGGGTAAAACTCTGAATTTATTGAATTTTTATTTGCACCCTCTTGATACAATTGCTACTGAATGTCGCTCAGCATTGATGTGTCTAGAGACAGAAAATTTGAATTATTTGGCAATGATTATGTAGCTGTCAAAATTGATTTGGCTATGAATAAGATGAGGTTTAAAGACAGTGAAAGCGATCCCAAGGGATTTGTTACTTTTTAAGACCACAAAAAACTACCTAGGTGTATCATCCCAAGATATCAAGGAAACTGTCTTCATATTTTCTTTTTAATACTTGTCATATATTTATTAAACACTATGCTAATTTTCTAAATTTTCTGATCACTAAAACACTCAAATTTGGCAGTTTGCAAGCAGCTCTGCGAGAAGCATTTTGTAATGCTACCACTTTTAAAAAAATGTTTGTGCTTGGTGTATTTGGGAAACTGCTAAGTGGTCCATGGATGACTAAGTTTTATGTATCAGCTGAGGATGCAAATTTTGATCATCTCACCGGTATTCAGATTCTAAAAAACATTTTGGAAACAGTTAATGTTTGCAAATCTAATCCGGCTGCACTGATTTTTTTTGGGAAATGCTTTCCTCAAACGTTTTTGAACCAATAACATATTAATGCTGCATTGATGACCAGGTTATTAACATGACTTCAGCTTGTCTTAATGCAGTAAAGGATGTATTGATTAGACAATGTAAAAGGTACTTCTCCTTTTTCATTACAGAGACACTCAAGCAGGAAACAGCTAGTGCAAGGTTTCACAATATAGATAGTGAAGAGTTAATTGGTATGTTTAGTGAATCTAAGGGAAGATTCCCTAATATATCAATTTTATATAATTCTTGAATGTAAAGGAATAAGTGAATGTAAAGGAAGATCCTCTAATGCAACAATTTGTTATATTTCTTGCAAAATAAGATGAATAAAGAATAGGACTATTTATTATCTTGATAGTTTAGATTACTAAGTAAGAAAATGTAATTAATGGTCCATTTTCTACAACATGCTCAAATTCGATCTGTACTATATAAGAGACAGACATGCAATCATCAAATGTTGGATGAACAAGATAAAAAGAAATTATAACAAAAACTTAAGTTAATGACTTTCAGCCAGATTAAGAATTTGTATAAACAATTATCATCCAGTTGCTACAAAGCAACTGGATGATTTAGATGGTGTTATGTCTGACAGAATTGTTAGTAGCAAACTATATCATGAATGGTGTGATATTGAACAATCTAAGTATACGATGGTAGAGTAGAAAAAGTAAAAAAAAAGATTGCATGACAAAATTTACACTATCTCTTACTGGAAAAAAGATGAATCTGATTCTGAAGCTGGTGATTTGCATGAAAAAATTCCAGCTGGCCCCAGATGTTGTATCAGGAGAATTTTTTTTTTTTTAATGTTAATGTGTATTATTTGTTTTTAATGTTAATATGTATTGTTTTCATAATTGAAAGGTAAGTCCAAAATAGATACTGCAAATGTTAGAACTTGAAAAGTCTTAACATTTGAAAAGTATCGCAAGTGTTGTGACTTATAAAATTGGTACAGAAGTGTTGTGACTTGCACAAATTATTGATAGACGGCTCTGGCTTACCTTCTTGTAATGTCTATCGTTAAAAAATGAATAATATTTTGTTTCATTAGTGGAATTTCAAATTGTTTACTAAAAGCCAAGATACTAATTAATTACAATGGGTATTTTGTTTACACTAAATTACATAATTTTAAATATTTTATTTTTAAAACATTTTACATGTTTTTTTAGGTTAGATGTTAAAAAATCAAACAGCCTTTTGTCTAAGAATTTAAATACTCTTACACATTTTGTATTAAAAATTAAAGTGTTAAAATTTTTGTTTATTTTTAACAATATTTTTCAATTTAAAGTTAAAAAAAAAATTTTAGATTGGAGGGGCTATTTCTCTTTCCTATGTGAAACTGGATAAATATTTGCTTTTTGTAAAGTGGTAAAATGTCTGTTTATACTAATTTTTGACGTTTGAAAATGTAAACAAATTTTTCTTTTTTTAAATGACAAAAATTGACAAAAAAAAAATTGGGGGGGGAGCGCGGTTAGGCGAAAGCGGGCGCACGCCCTTACCTCTCAAGTAAAAGTATACCATACTAACAAGTTGTAATGTAGTAAAGTATTTTTTTTTTAATTTGGAAGGAGATTGGGGGAGGGGCGGTGCTGCACTGGTGTACGCCCCTCACCTTGACTCAAGTTATACACCACTAACCACTAGTTGTAAAGTACAACTAGTGGTTAGTGAAACTTAAATTTTATTTTTTGTTCTAGATTACTTATTTAATTGGAGGTAATATTATTTTTAAAAAAGGAATTATTTTTGTTAATAGTACGTGTTAAACAAGCACCACCACATCCACCCCTAACTCAAAGGTACACATCTCATATATGGTGGTGAGCTGGGATCTAAATATTGGAACTTCTGTTTGATAAAAAAGACAATTTTCAGTATTGAAATTTTTTATAATAAAATAATTTTCAGTATTGAAACTTTTTTATAATAAAATATTCAATTTTTTGGTGGTAAAAGTCGTAGTTCGGGGCCCCCTCTAGCCGTCCACTCACACCCTATGGCAAGATGCTACTATAAAATTGTATCCCACTCTTACATCTTTCTTTTGATACCAAATTATAGAAATTTCAACAAGAATTTGCATAGTTATAACCATTTTCGATACAAAAAAAATTATTTTGACCACAGTTTCTTTAACAATTTCATATATTCAAAAATTGTCACTAAAAACCTCATAACTTTTTTTTGAATTGTTCGATTTTGATAATTTTTTCACCTTTGAAATACTGTATTTATGTGCTTTTCAACGATATATAACAATATAATATTTTGTAAATTTAAAAATTTCATGTCACATACCTATATATATATATATATATATATATATATATATATATATATATATATATATTATATATATATATATATATATTGATAAATGTTGTATACTGCTGGAAATACAACTCTTGTCTGTTTAAGAGGGATCAATATTTTTTTTAAAAAAATAGATCAAATTATAATAAAATAATTTAAATGAAAAAAATACAACTTTATGATGAAACTAAAAGTTTCATGCCATTCGGCAATCATCAGCCGTATTATTCATGTAAAAAAGAAAAAAAAAATTTTTTTTTACATGAATAATATGGCTGATGATTGCCGAATGGCATGAAATTTTTAGTTTAATCATAAAGGTTGTATTTTTTTCATTTAAATTATTTTATTATATATATATATATATATATATATATATATATATATATATATATATATATATATATATATATATATATATATATATATATATATATATATATATATTGATGTTTTAACAATTTGAATGCAATAAAAAAAGTGTTACGTTATAAATATCTTTTATTCGTTGATCTTTTCTAAAGTTTTTTATTTTAAGCAAAGGCTTTAAATAAAACCATAAAATTAATTATAGTTATTGTTTACATAAACGTTTGTGTAAATTAATAAAAAACATTATAAATAAGTTTTTTTTATGTAGGCATTTATTTTTTATGATAAATTTAAATCTTTGAAACTATTTTTTTATGTCTTCCTATAATATTTTTAAACCATTATTTTTAGGAAGAATTTTTTTAAGTTACTTTAATTTGAGAATAAGTTCAAAAGCTTTTGTGACGACTATCTTTTACACATTTTATGTGAATTACACAAGAATATTAAATAACTTTATTTACTAATATAAGCATGTATTTTGTTGATTTAATGAAAATGTTTTCAAGCATTTTGTAATGTTCATATGATTAATTTTTATGATTAAACCATAGTTTACCATAGTATGTTATTGTTCGCTTTTTTTTAAGTCACGTGATCAAATCTAGTGCAAAACAAATAAAACTTTTATAATTAAAGTCATGAATTAATAAAGATTTTTATGTTTATTTTAAATTAATATATTTAAAATATAAAAATCTGACAATAGAAAAAACATAAAAATCTGACAATAGAAAGGAACCAATATTATTAAAATAATATTGGTTCCTTTCTATTGTCTATGGTTTAAAAACTTTATTCAATTCAAAATGTTTCTTTATATTCTATATTTAAAAAAAGTCTAAAAGATAAATCCAAAATGCCAGGTTCAAATTGTTGTCTACCAGGATGTACAGTTTCAAGATCTATTAAGCACAAAGATATCACCGTATTCAGAATTCCTATGAGGACAGGAGACTTCTATAAGAAATGGAGACAAAGATTGTTAGCTGTTATCACTCAGTATAGAGACTTTGACAAAGATTTGAAAAAAAGACTCTCAAAGGGCAATATTTATATATGTGAGAATCATTTTTTAGCAGAAGATATTGAATTGACAAGTAAGGATACTTTTATATATTGAGTTGTTTAAATTTGCTTTTACACTCTGTGTTATTTAATTCCAAAAGCATTTTATTTTGGGAAACTCTGATAAGTTTGAGTACAATAAACAAATAAATTTCATAAAGCCTAAAGTATCTGTGGCCTTATTTAAATTTGTGGATAACATATTCTCTTTTTTTCTTAGTATAGTTCTTAGTATTGTTCTTATTTTTGTGTGATAACTTATATTTACTTTATTGAAATATGTTGAATTTCAGAAACAGTAAGTAAATTTACGCTTTTACGCTTTACGCTTTTACGCTTACGCATTACGCTTAGAGGCTTTACCTACTGTTAACCTACCTATAAAATCACATGAAAAAGAAAAAAAGGTACCTAGAAGACACATAAGTATTGTAAAAGATATTGTCCCACAGAAACGAATAAATTATTCAAACTTAATTGATTTACAGAAAAAAACTCAAAAGTTAAAACTTAGTGGATGGGAGATGACATGTAATGACAACAATATCAAATTTAAAAAGTTGTTGCCTTTGTATTTGTTACCTAAATATGAAGTTGTAGTGGATGACAGATTAGCGTTCACCATTATTGTATTTGGATGGCTCTTGCCAGATACTCACTTAATCTATAAATTATACTCACGATCAATGCTGAACACTACAGTTACCGAACTTTTATGCAAAATATGTACACACAGAAAACATATGTTGCATACCCGCTCAACAAAAAATGTTGCTTTCAATTTTCAACATAAAATGTTGATTACAATGCAACATCAATGTTGAGAAACGGGTTTTTGAATAGTAAATTTCGTTGAAAAATAAAACACCACATTAGTTGTTGAGATAACGAAGTACACTGCCATTTTGTATAATTAATAAGTTCACGAGGCGCATGGTTTGGAGTAAAACAACTATTTTTTTCATCGAAAAATTCTTGCATAATTTTATTCAATGTATCAATGCCATTTATGCAGAGAATTATTTTTTAAAGTTAAAGAGCTACACTGTCATTTACGTAATCATGAAGCCGCTGGTGAATTAAGAATGCCATTTCGCAATTTATGGAACCTCAAAAGACACATGGATAAGTATCACAATCAGTCACATTGCGAGAAAGATGTTTGTGTCCCTGTCATTAATAGCAACACTTTATGCAATAATGACGACGATTGTAATTATGGAAGAGAAGATCAAAATAAGCGATGCAAACTTTCAGACATTCATACTGAGGCAGTTTCTTTAGTATCTTCTCTGAGATCAAACAGTGGTTTACCACATAATATAATTTCATGTGTCATTCCATCCTTCAGTCACATGACTGACTGTTTAGCAGATTACTTAAATGAACAAGTCCAGGAGTTGTTAAAGTGTGTGCCAAATATTCACCAAGATGTTATAAATAATATTGAAGAAGTATTTATCAAGGTTCGTAATCCTCTTGAATTTCTTTCTACAAAATACAAGCAAGATAAATATTTTGCTGAACATCCTCTTATTGTTAATTCTGAAACACTTCCAATTGGTACTAGGTATGAGGTTAAAAATGGACTCAATAAATTAATCTATGACACCTATGAATATGTGTCAATTGAAAACAATCTTTGTAGCTTATTTAGTAGTGAAGAATTTGTTGAATTGATGTTTGGTAATAAAACTAAAGACAATGATTTAATTGACTGTTTTCAAGATGGAGAATGCTGTAAAAAGCATTTCTTATTTAGTGACGATAATAAATTTTCCATCATGATTCAGTTATTCTACGATGGTATAGGTACAATAAATCCTCTTTGTGGAAATGCATCAACCAGTAATGTTGGTGTTTTCTATTATACAATTAAAAATTTGCCTCCGAGTCATAACTCTTGTTATGCTAATATACATCTATTTTATTATAGTCTATACATCTATTTTATTATAGTAAATTCTCAATCTTCAACAGAATGTTCATTAACTATAGATCCAATATCTGTATCAACACCAGCTGCAATAAAGCTACCACTACCTGCCCGTGATGTTGTAATTGTAGAGTCACAGGTAATGTAACAAAATAGTATAAAAAAGTGCATTTATGAATTTTTGTTATAGTTATATAGAAAACTAGCTCATTAGTGACAGTTTTGTGCAGGTTTATGCTATCGAGGAGTTATTATGTAACTATACTAAGGGAGGAACTAAAATAGTTGAAAATCTGAAACAAGGCATCTACTACACAAGATCGGAACGTGTGTTAATGATTAAAGTCCTTGGCAAATACCTGATGAAAAATTGTTTAATGTGAGTGCCATAGTGCAATATTTTTATCATTTTTTGTTTGTTTTTTTATTTTTATTTTTTAGTTTTGAAATTTTTCAGGCTATAACATTTTAACTTTTTTACCCAATTCAGGCCTTGCGATAAAGCGTCGGGCGATGTGAATTTTACGTCGTCCAAGAGCGATTTTGCGTGTAGCTAGGGCTATTTGCGTCGAGCAAAAAAAATTTTGTTTGAGTATATTTAAAGATATTTTTGAGCGGAATTTTAATGAAGTAATTTACGAATATTTTAACATTTAATAAAGTATTTTAAAAACCGCACGCAGTTGAAAAAGTTTGAATTTAAAAAAATTAAATATGCTCATTATTTACAAGTAGAAAAAAATCAAAAATTAAAAAAAAAGTTTAAATCTTTTAAGCTAACATTTAGTTAAAATTATCTAACATTTAATTAAAATTGAACAAAAATACTTTCTTTTAGTTTTAGATTTTAAACTTAAATAATTATTTTACGGGGGTTTGTTAGGATTTAAAATTATTCCATAGATTTAAAAATATTTATTAACTGTTAGACATATTTAAAGTATTTAAGAGTAATTTCGAGGAAACATTTTAAAAATTGGTGAGGGCAAATAAAAAAATAAAAAAGGATTAATATTATAACGTATTCTACTTGATTCAATAAAAAAGTACAGTTATTAAAATTTTTGTAAAAAGTAACTCAAAAAAATTACTTAAATAATAACGATCGCTTTTATGTCAAAAGTTACCGAAACTCAACGAAGCGTGCTCAAGAACAGCTGCTGAAAAATAGAACGTCAATAGTTTTTCGAATAATTTTTAAGAATAATTTTTTCGCTGAAATATTTCTTTTATTCCTAAAAAATTTTTATTCTAACATACTTTTTTTTACTAGAAATAAAATTCCTTGTTAACATTCAAAATCTATTCAAAACGTTCGTTTAAGTTTTTTATTAATACGAGTGATTGTGCTTATCAACCGCTTTATGAAAATAAATAAAAATAAATAAATATTATATAAAATCGCTTGTAAAAAATATTAGCTATTGCACAGTTTTTAATCGTACAATATTAAAATTTCCAGTTTATTACTCGCTGACTTTTTAAAAAGAAAAAATAATTATTTGAAAAACTTTAAATTACATATTTAAGAAAAAAAAAATCAAATATTAGCATATTTTATAATCTTTTTTAAATTTAAGTTATAATGTTTTTTATTCGTTTAGTATAGACAAAACGTGACAAACGTCGAGAAAATAAACAAATGTTTTTACATTTTAAAAAACGAAACATTCCAAAACATTTTTAAATAATAACATTTCTACATAAACGATTTAAAGTAGTTTTGCGGTAATTAAGTAAATTGGTGCAGTTAATGTCGATAAATATGAAAAGCAAATAAAAAGAATTTAATGACGTCAAAAATCACGTCGTGCTTATGCGTCGCGCAGTTCTTATTCATCGCAAGGCCTGCCAATTCTATTTAGTTAAAATGATCCTAGTTCAAAAGAAATGACAAATTTGGCAAAGAGTATTGTCATGGAATTTCCGGTTCTATTTTCCAAAACCACACCAAATGGATATGTAAACATTAATTAGTTGTGCATTTTCAAACGCTTTATAATTGTAAGACTAATCATAATCTAGCTTCTTTTTTTTAAAGGAAGAGATCTTCTGTGCAAAGGGTGCCACTGGTTACCTTGCCCAATATGTGCGGCAAAAACGTCACAGAGACCCATTTATTAAAAAGCATTGGACTTGGCGAAAAAATAGGTTTTTTTTTTAGGGTTAATCTTTGCGTTACTTTTTTGTTACCAAAATGTGTATGTAATACTTTTTTAAATTTTTTAGAGTTACCATTACTAATCCTTTATCAAACATTGATGATGATGAGCGTCGTCTTCGAGAAAGTAGACCAACGGCGGTTAACCTATCTGAGTTAGTGCAGCTCATGCATAACACTAGAGAGCATAGACGAGCTTGGATCAATACTTGCAATCCTGATGCCACTAGTATTTTAAACAGATTCCCTCGTTTGTTTGATGTAAACGAGTTGGTATGCTTTTGTTTTTTAAATTCTATAAAGTCTATAAATAAAAAATTCAATAAAAAGGTAAATATATTTTCATATGCAACTTAGTGGAATGGAACATGCCAAACAAAATAAAAATTATTTCGTTAACATATATTCTACAAAATCATTGTTAGGTTATCCTGATATTGTTACAGTTTAATATAAATATGGATGGAATAGAATAAATTTAAAATAATTTTTACTGATTATAAAATTTCATAAATTGTTCATAAAATTTTGCAAATATGACAATATTTTTGCACAAAAAAAAACGACACTGTTATTCTTCTTCCTTTATTTTTAGATTAGCAAAGAGTTTGCAGCGATTGCAGGCGAATTTCTTTCTCTGCGAGTTGATATGCTATCTTTTCGTCAAAAGATACTTGTTTACTCTGAAAATCTTAAAGATTACTCTAATATGCAACAAATTTTAAGAGCGTACCAATCTAATGAATTTGATGAAGGTAAGCAATTTTTAGGATTTTTTAAACTTGTCCTAATTACTACATAAATGAAAAATTCTTTAATTATCTTTTCTAGACAAAAAGACTGAGTTATCGTTGTTGCTGTTGCCGCACATATTGATTCCACCACAGCAACGAGGCTTAAAAGCTCCTAGAGTCGGGAGGGATGTAGTGTCGAATCAGATGTTTGTGGATATGAATGAGGCAAGTTTAAATAATTTTTAAACAGTTCAATCGTTCAAAAGTCGCGCAATTATTTTCAAAATGCCTTATAAATTATAAATCTATATTTATATTTATTTATACAGGAACAGATGAGTGTCCCTGAAGCAGTTGCTTCTCTACAAAAAAAACTTATGGGCAGGCATAGACAACCTCCCACCCCTACTTTTTCGTCTTAATAAAAATTATCATATCAAGTTGGATGATCGGGCCATCGAACTTCGTGATGCAGCTTGTTTTTGTGATGCGATGGAGTTTTTGTTGACGTGTTTTTATGTGTTTAATTTAAGTTATCCACACGAAATAAAGCCAGTTTATGGTCTGCTTGAGCATCTCATGCAGATTAATATTTCGATCGGAAAAAGTGCCGCTTTATCAGACTTCTTGGGAGCAATGACTTAAAAGTTTGTACTAAAGAACTAAAAACAATTACTTTTTTTATTTTAGTAGAAAAAAATTATTAAATTTTTTAGTTATATTTTGGTTTTTATTTAATTCTCGAGCATTATTACTTTGAAATAATATTATTAAGACTATCGAAATACCAAAGATCCCACGGATACACTTATGGAATGACACCTTATTCGTGTGCGCAATTACTAAATTCATACTTTTACTTAAAATTCAATTTTGAGTTAATTTGATAAAAGTATGAACCGCGCAGTCCTTAGAATGCAAAAGTAAAAAAAATAAATGTCTACAAAGCAGTTCTCGCAGTAGTCGCCTAAAGTAAAAATTTCTCAACATTTGTGTTGTAATAAATGCAACATTAAATGTTGCGTTAAATTACGCAACATTTAATGTTGAAAATTGTCAACATTAATGTTTGGGAGTCAAATGCCAAAATTGAATGTTGCGCGGCAATCAACATTTATGTTGCGTTTTTGCAACATCTGCTTTCTGTGTGTATCTGTAATAATTTTCAGATTTGAGCTTATAATATTTGTAAATGTTGCTTCTTGGTTTTTTAGAAGTTTGTCAGTTTCTTTGAGAATATATTTTTTTTGTTCTTTGAGTTTTGTTGTTATAAGTCGTTCAATATTTTTCATTGTAACTTCCATTTTTTTCAAAAAATGAGTGTTGCAAAATTTGTGAAGATAAAATGATAAATTTGAAGAATAATTCCGGTTATAAAGATAATTAAATACTAAAAACTGTTATTAAAATGTTTATTACTAAGACAACGAAAATAACATTTTTTATCACTTAATATCTTTTTTCTAGCCGTAATGTTAGTTACTAATTTACACTGATGGGATTTGTGGTTATTTTCGCAAAATACACACACGGGTGAACAAGAATCATTTCGTTTATAATTAAAATTTATTTTATCATATTTATTACTTGAATTGTCACTCGAATGAAACGTACCAGCAGTAAAGGGTAAAGTATTTAAATCAGAAGAGTTGATGTGTTCACGCGCTCTTAATTCAGCTTTTAGTATATTGAACTCATCTTTAATATCCCAAGTTCCATCTTCATTTAGTTTACGGCTTATAATTAAATTTAGCTCCTCGGGAAGCTTTTCAAGTATAATTGGGACAAGTAAAGACCCATACATCGAAGAATCAATACCAATATTCTCTAAACTACGTATTTGAATCCCAATAGTATTTAAAAGTTTTCTTAAAGAATTAACATTTTTTATGTTGTTTAATCGATCAAGTTTTAAAAGTTTCTTCATATAAAATGAAACAGTCAATTGTTTATTTGAAAATCGTTGTTTTAAAATATGCAGCGCAATCGTATAATTTTCGTTTAAAAGTGAGAGACCATTAATTGCGGAATATGCTTGTCCGTGAATTAAGCTCCTTAAATTTGTCATTTTTTGAATGTTACTTAATTCATCATTTTTATTTATCCCACAGTCAAAATTTTCCCAAAAGGGTTGCCAATTTCCCAATTGCCATCAAATGCTTTAATTTTTAAGGTTGGAAGTTTAACCATTTTATTAGTTTTTAATGTTACTGTAGAACTTGCATCATCATTAGATTTAACAGAAATATTATTTAAAAAAATTGTTTATTTTAGAATTTTCTCTTTTGAAACTTAATGTTAAGTCAATAGCTTAATCATCGTTAATTTGTAACTCCTCCGCGTCATCTATTAAAACCGAAATTTCATCATCTAGAGTTTTAATTCTTTCAAATCTATTATTACCGTCTCTCTTAAATTAATTAGTTCTGTTAAATTTTCACTATAATTATCGTCTTTCATTAAATCATTGGCCTGATCGAAAATTTTCTTTATAGAATTCATAGTTCGCATTCTTCTTTTTGTTGTTAGTACAGACATTTCACGAATCTGAAGTCAAATTTAAAGGAGAATTCCTAACTTAAAATTGATCTTTTTTTTGCGGAAACAAGACGTGTTTTTTATTAGCGATAAAATTTACATAAAAATGGATATTACAATAAAAAGCATCAAAAAAAATTATCACAAAACAACTCGAGGAACACAAAAAAAGTATTCTTAAAGAAACTGAACGACTACTTAAAGAGCAAGAAAAATCATTTACTTTAATAATGAGTGCAAACCTCAAAATTATAACTGATAGACTAGACACAATAGAGAAAGACAACAACAACAACAAGTCGAAAATAAAGAATATCGAAAAAGACCTGAACAAAATAAAGGACAGCCTCAGTTTTCAAGAGAATAAAACTTTAGAAAACATTTCACACTTAAAAAAGTATTATGACAATCAAATAAATACATTATATAAAAAGTCAATAGACTAGGAAAATCGTTCCAGAAGAAATAATCTAAGAATAGATGGACTATAAGAGTCTCCAGGAGAAAGCTGGGATGATTGTGAAAAAGAGGTAAAAAAATTCTTTAATAATCAATTAAAAATATCAAAGGAAGTCGTTATAGAAAGAGCATATCGCATTGGTCAAAAGAAAGATAATAAACCAAGAACAATAGTTTTAAAACTCCTGAACTTCCACGACAAAAACAAAATACTCAACTCATTAACTCATCTTAAAGGAACTGGCATTTACATAAACGAAGATTTTGCCCAAGAAACTATCGAACATCGAAGGAAGCTTTGGGAAGAAGTGAAAAGATTACGTAGCGAAGGTAAATACGCTACTTTAAAGTATGATAACATTTTTAGTCGAGATTTTAAAAATACGCGCTTTCAAAAATAACTTTACTCAAATCGAATTCTATTAAAAAAAAAAATTGATTTAATTCTTTTTTCGTCATGGCTAATGATTTTATAACAAAAAATTTCGATAAGTTGCGTTTTGACTTTTTTAAAACTAAAAATAATATCTTTGCGAATGATTTATACGATGACGATTTATTTATTTTTAATGGACCTGACTCTCCATACTTTGATACTAAAACTTTTAAAGCTGAACTTCATAACAATATAGACGAGTTTACGGAAAAACACATAAACATTAGGAGCTTAAATACAAATATCGATAAGTTAAAAATTTTCCTTTTCGAATGCAAATATTCCTTTAGCATGATTTGTCTTACAGAAACTTGGTGTTCTGACGAAAATTCTTATACAAATTCAAACCTCCTAATCCCTAATTATAATCTTTTTTCTTATGAAAGAAAAGCTAACAAAAAAGGAGGTGGAATAATAACCTACATCCATAATGACTTAAACACAAAAATTAGAAATGATCTTTCTATTTCTGATTCAAATAGTGAGGTCTTTACAGTTGAAGTCATTAATGATACTACAAAAAATCTCTTAATATCCTCTTGTTATAGACCACCCGATGGATATATTATAATGTTTTCAAGTTTTATGAAACAAATATATACAACAAGCAATGTTGAACATAAAAAGCTATTCTGTATTGGTGACATGAACATAAATTACCTAAGCTATCATGAACACGCTAATACCAAAATTTTTTTCGATGATATGATACAACATTACATTTTCCCAATTATAAACAAACCCACCCGGGTAACTCCCACCTCAATTACAGCTATTGACAAATTCAATTCAAGATCCATCCTTAAAAGTAGGAATAATTAAAACGGATATATCTGACCACTTCCCAATTTACTTCTCACTATCACAACAAGCAACACGTGTCAATAACTTGAAAATAAAAATCATCAAAAGAAGCATAAATAAATTCACGACCCAAAAACTAAAAGACTCACTAGCGGTAGTAAATTGGTCAAAAATATATCATGAATGTAACCTCGGACACACAAATTCCGCTTACAATAAGTTTATAAATATTTTCCTAAATCTCTACAATAAACATTTTCCAAAGGTCGAAAAAGAAATTAAAGCAAAATACCTAACCACTCCATGGATTACCCAAGGAATAAGAAAATCGTCAAAACAAAAACAAAAACTCTACATAAAATATCTAAAAAATAGAAACCATTTTAATTTGTCCAAGTATAAACAATATAAAAATCTATTTGAAGAAATAAAATTAAAATCCAAAAAACTATATTTTTCAAAGCAAATACAAAAATTTAAAGGAGATAATAAAAAAAATCTGGGATATTATAAAAGAAATAATTGGTAAAGATAAAAAAAACTCGAACCAACTACCTCCAAAAGTTCTCATAAGTGAAAAAGAGTTTAATAATAAAAAAATTATCTCTGAAAAATTTAACAAATACTTTGCAAGTATAGGTTCCAAACTCGCCTCTAAAATTCAACCTACAAACAATTCATTTGAGAATTACATCGAGGACTCTCGTTGCTCCCTAGTTTTTAAAGAACTAGAATACGAAGAACTTGAAACAGCAATTAAAACATTAAAAATTAACAAAGGTCC